AAACAAAACGTTCCTCTCCTCCTTTGCTTAAAGAAAAAAGAAGTGTGAAAGGCTGAAGCTACTTGAGTAATAGGGCAGATTCTAAACCCAACTTCCCTTTTAAAATGAATGGCGACCCCCACCGTTCATATCTCAATTGTGGGCCACTTTGATTCTTTATGGTTTTGGTTGCATTCACACCTTTTTTCTTACTTCTTCTTCTTCTTCTTCTTCCTCCTCTTCTTTTAATTTATAAATTTGTTACAGTCCTTTAAATGTGGGTTTGCTTTGACATATACCCTTTATTTTTTTATGCCATAAAACGAGGCCACACAATTATGATACCAATTTCTCCATACCATATGGGCTTTCATTCCAAAAATCAAATGCTTAACAGCTCCTCAAGGCCAAATTAAGAATAATAATCAAACGTTCTAATTATGATAACGAGATGACGATTCTCCCACCATACAGAATATTTACAACATTTCAATCCTTTTGAAAACCCTTTACCTAATCAACAACCCACACGCCTCAGCCCATCAAAAACAGACAAAAATCACAGCCAGAGACCAGGTGATTTCAGGCTCTGCACCTAATTTACCAGGCGGTAGATATAATTATCAAGGTAAACCAAGATTGCCTTTCTCCTAACCCACCATGATAAGTGGGCATCTTTGTCAGTTGGGGGCATTTTTCTTCTCAAAATGAGTACAAAAAGGAATCAAATTTAACCAAAACGAATGAGTCAAAGGAAGAAAACTGGAAGCAACTTTTGTCAATTATAAAAACAAAACGGCAGAAAATTGTGGTAATCAAGCCCACCTATAAGCAAAGAACTTTAAATGACATAATTGAAAAAAGAGGGAATGGAATTGGTACACCACTGCTGCAATAATAATCACTGAAAGCTGACATCCCAATCCCTTTCTTTCTCCTGCAAAATGTTGCAGTAAATATAGTTACCAAACCCCAGAGAGTTTAATTACAAAGATTAAGCAAGAGAAGAGGTGAAAGTAATAATATCACAATGGGTTCTCTCAACCACCCCCTTAAAAATTGCAACACACAGCAATAAAAACCCCTTTTTCATCATTAACTTTCATTGAACTTTGCATTTACAGTTGGAAAATTTTTGAAAGTAAACTGCCTAAGAACCTCCCGTGAGCTGCAAATAGCCAAAAATATTGAGAAACTTCAACATCAAGGGAAGGATGGCACCGCAAGCAAGCATGCGCCAAGGCATCCAATGCAATTAAAAATGCCATTCTTCCACTAGCCCCATTAATAAATTAAATACACTACTACTCCTCCTCCTCCTCCTCCTCCTCCTCCTCATGTTTAACCACAGGTGGGCTTGGTATTAACTACTGGCAACTAACAAAATCCAATTGATTCACCCAACATTTACCCTTGAAAGGTGAAAGAAAGAACAATATAAATAGATAAAACTGTAAAAATTACCAGGAAACTTGAGCCATAAGGTGGAATTGATACCTATGGAGTCCTTGTCTGTAAGTAAAGCATTTGCACGCAGCTTTAGCCTCAAATGTCGGAAGCCACCAGCAGTCCAATCATTGTACAGAGGAAGATTAAAGCGGCTGCAAGTGGTAATCAAATAATTAGAAGCTTAGGATGGAAATTTGGTGAACTCAAAGGGAAATGGAAGCAAGTTAGAAGAGGCTCATCACAAGACAAAGACGCGTGTGTGATAAAGGTTAACATCAAACAGTTTTTTATGTTCTACGTGTGGGCTGAACATTGGCAATTACAGGACAGATAAATGTCCAAACAATTTGAGGTTTGATGTAAAGGCAAACTAATGAAATTGTCTTACTTTTTTCACCCTAAATGACAAATCTAGCTGTCTTCCAAATGGAACACCAAACAACGTTGAATTTGTCAAAGTAGTGACGTACCCTCGTACCCTCAGGCAACCAGTTCATTCAGAAACGTAAGCTTTCACGGCTTTACATCTTTGGAGATGTGAGGCCTATAGAGCCCTCGAACGAAATACACCAAGAAAAGATTACCAACATAAATGCTTTGAGATGCCATTCTTGTACTATCAAAGAATTAGAGAGAAAAAGATTGCAAAAGAAAGTAAGAAACATAGCATGAGGAAATTGCAGCAAATCCAAGAACACTGCCTTAAATTTATCGCCACCAATTCAATCATCCAAGTTTATATTGACGGTAGGCGAAGGTAGAGTGGGAGCTGCGGATTTGTCGTTGGGATGTCTCAAATCAAAGACAAGAAATCCAAGAACGCCTATGTTGATCATGGCATAAACCATGCCTAGATATCCAAAAATTGGGTTTTTAAAAGGTAGAAACGATATGACCGATGGTACCGAATCTAGGTAGAATGGGAATATACACTTTTGAATAAAAGAAAATGGTGCTCGATCACACTATGCTGACAAAACCGAAAAAATGTTCTACAGAACACCATCTGCCGTTACACTCCAACGTAGTATCCAAACACACAACGCTAAATTCTGTCTCATTGAAAACTGATATCTCCTGCATTCGAGGAAAGTATCCTCGTCCAGGTTTATTAGTTGTTCATCAGCATGCCATTAGTTTGTCGATAATTTGGTGCAATTTGGGCATGGAACACCTCAAGCCCACCGCTAGCTAATATTGCCCACTTTAGCCTGTTACGTATCGTCGTCAACCTCATAGTTTTAAAATACGTCTATTAGGGAGAGGTTTCCACATTCTTATGAATGTTTCGTTTCCCTCTCTAACTGATGTGGAATCTGATACGTCACGGGCCAAAGTGAACAATATCTGCTAATGTTGAGCTTGGATGGTTACAAATGAGATCAGACTTAGACACTGAGCGTTGTGCCAGCGAGGACACTAGTTGTCACAACCTAACTATGAAGAGAGTAGGTTGTGACCCTCACGTTGCGACAAGAGAAGTGGCAACCCTCAAGTGGCGCCCATCCGGCCACACGAGGACCTAGACGAGTGTCATGATGCGACCAAGAAGAATAGTGCATCATTTAACACGCCACAACAAAGTGGGCATTGAGGACAAGTTGAGACATAAGCAAGATAAAAACATCGAATAGACAAGAGGCGCAAAGATAGGCTTGTTGAAGGGTCGGGTAAGGTCCTGGGCCTAACCTCAAAAGTTGGGGTTTCGAAAGGAATTCGGGCTCACCAAATTTAGTGTCAATCGAACACCAGACAGGTGCTCCATGACACCGTATGACCGTTAGCCAAAATCATGTCTATACCATGGTTTAAAATAGCTAAAAATGTACTATTGGGTACCATGGTGTCAACTCTCCACCACGGCCCTGTGACCTAAGCGAGCTACCCTATGGCATATACGTATGTCACAGCGAGGACGAGCGTGCCGAGACGAGTGTCTTGGGTGACTTCATTTGAAATGGATTTTCCAAGGACGATATTGTGCCTCAGCCCACGTGTCGAAGGTTGCTACATACACCCACTATCTATACGATGTCCGTAAATGACATGGTATGGGCACGGGAGGGCCAGTGTCTTGATAGAATCTGGATGGATGGATGTTCGGGATACCACGATGAGATGAGAGACACATGGGTCCGTTCTCGATGGCATGACCGAACGAGTCGGCACGACACCCTGAGACTCAGAATGACGTCAAGACATATAGGTCATATGTCGATAGGGATTAAGATGACAAGATGAGATGCGATGGTGCATTGACAGACTTGGCTCTAAGCAGAGGGAAGGTCGAGCCAAATGACTTGGCCTAGTGTAGAGACAAGTCGGTTGTATCACAGACGATTGAACATACACGTGCATGCAGCGTGTGTGGTCGAACAAACTTGGATTCCCCACAAGCTATGTTCTATTGACGAAGACAAATCTCACCTAAAGTCCGATAAGACACAAAGAAAAAGTAGTGCCGTGACATTAGGCCTACAATGGAGTGGAACTCCAGAGATGGTTGGAGAGGGGAACAAAACCTCTCATTCGTTTTAAAACCTTAGCTAAAATGGTCCGTTTGCAATTAAAAATATAGTTTCTTTATGTCAACAAACTCGTTAATTAAAATTGATCCAAGTCTCACAACCCAACTAATTGGGCTTCTTGTTTACAAATTTGGGCTTGGGCCTCTCATTCCCTTAAATAACCGGAAAATTCATATTTTTATTGATTATTAAAAATAAAAAATAAAAACAAGCATGTTTTTTTTTTTTTTTTAATAAAATTTAATAAACTAAAAGGATTGTTTTTTTATAATTTTAATAAATATTTGAATAAAGATAAAAAAAATATCATATGATATTTAATTATTTTGAAAAGTGGGGAATGACATAAGCTATAGATAATGAAAATTAGTAATAATATTTTGTTTTATTTACCAAAAATGTCTCCCTATCATAATCATTGCAAATAGATTGTGGATTATTGTAATAATGAATTAGGATAAATTTGACCAATATCTTGTCATATTTCAATAATCATAATCATTATATTTGAAATTAATGCCCACTCTAACTAATCACCCTCTTAATTCATTTTTTTTTAAAACTTAGATGCAATGAATTTTGTTTAGGTTTTGAAAGTCAACATTTAATATTTTGAGAAACTAAAGGTTAGGCAAGTAATTTCGTGAGTTATCATTTTCTGGGTTCCGCCCGAAAAACAATGTCACTCTATCGTTATCAAATTGACCATGATCGTGAGGATCCCAAGATAGCGTCTTCTACTTCTAATAAACCAGATCATGAACTAGATCACAATTATTCTCCATGAATTTATAAGTGATCCCATCTTTTTTATTGGGTCTGTATTGAGACCAAAGGTCTCGAACGTCCGATTCGACATAACAACTCAAACCCACTGTTTGCACATATTGTCTGCTTTGGTCTGTTACGTATTATTGTTACTCTCGCAGTTTTAAAATGCATATGTTAGTGAGAGGTTTCCACACTGTGAAAAGGAATGCTTCGTTCATTTCTTCACACTCGTTCTAAATTTGAAATACCATTTGTTACATGATTTCTTCTTCATATGAAGCAATTACGCAACTTACGTACGGAATCTAAAACGAAGAACACGAAGAACAAGGTAGCATCAATACCTCTCTCAACTTTTAACCTAAAAACCCATCAATTTTCACAGAATTTTGTTGGGGGGCTTTCATTTGTTTTTTCTTCTTTCTCGAAACTCACATAATTTAAAATTAAAATTAAAAAAAAAAAAAAAAAAAAAAAAAAAAGCTGCACGTTCATCATCTGCCTTCTGGGTGCAAAGGGAATAACTCCAGAGTTCTATCTTCAACCAAACATTCAAACCCCCAGTTCATGCACTTCCTCTTGTACGGACTATCTTCCCCTCCCTGCAAAACCCCCCGAACAAACCCTTAAATATGTCGAGAATTATTAAAAGAAGTAGTCTCATATTGGCTAATTACGAGGCTATCAACCAAAAAAGTTATTAGAGCTTATGCACGAAGTGGACAATATCATACTATTCTGTACGGTCGAGATTACTAACAAAATATATCATAACTCATTACAAAACTACGGTAAATGACGATCCTACCGATGGGTCGAAGGGGACGGCCGTGACGATGGTTGTCGTCGGAGTTACGGGGGAGGAGTGAGCAAGACCAAGAGTATTGCGCTTCTGCTTCTGTCGCTCTCGAGCTTTATGATTCTGAAACCAATAGAACACATTCTTTCCTTCAATCTTCCCGTACTTCCCAAGCTGTGCAGTAATTTGTTCAATCTGTTGAGCATTGGGAGTCCTCATTCCTCTCTTATAAAGCATCTCCAATATCGCTATCTGTTCTTGCGTCGGGTTCCACCGTGTGCCCCCTGGTTGCATCTCCACAACTCCGGTCTACACAAACCAACACGAGTCATTAATAATTTTCACTGAAAATAAAGCACAAGGGATTGGTAGACGTTAATTACCCGAGGGGAAGACGGGTCTTTCTTAGTATCAGGTTTGATGAAGGTCTTGAGGTCGAAAGCGGTGAGCGTTGAAGCGGCGGAGGTGGGCGGAGGAGGTCGTAAGCGCTTCGTGCAAGCAAGGGAGAGAGAGGGCTCATCCCAAGAACAAGGGGAGAAGTGATGAAGCTTCATGGTTAATCCCATGGGAGAAGATTCATACGAAAACAAGCCAACTCTTAATATATAGACAAAAAGCAAGAACAGGTGAGACTGTTCAAAAGCTTTGTTCGATGATGAAAGTTCCACATCAGCTAATTTAAGGAATGATCATGGGTTTATAATCATAAGCTTTTTAGAGAAACTCAAAACAAAGTTATGAGAGCTTATGTTCAAAGTGGACAACATCATACCATTGTGAAGAGTTGTGTTCATCTAATATACTATCAGAGTCATGCCCTAAACTTAGTCGTGCCAATAGATTGGTAAATTCTCAAATGTCGAACAAATGACTCCAAAATAAAAAGGAGTCAAGTCTCCTCGAAGGCATAGTAAAAAATGAGTAAGAATCTAAAAGAAAAAGGAGTCGGCTCTTGGTTAAGGGGAGGCGTGCTTTGTTCGAGGGGAGGTGTTGGATGATGAAAGTCCCACATCGGCTAATTTAGGGAGAAAAAGGAGTCAAGCTTCCTCGAAGTCATAGTAAAAAATGACTAAGACTCTAAAAGGAAAAAGAGTCAAGCCTCGATTAAGGGGAGGTGTACTTTATTCAAGAGGAGGTGTAGGATGATGAAAATTTAGGGAATAACCGTGAGTTTATAATAAAGGAATATTATCTCCATTAGTACGAGACATTTTGAGAAATCCAAAACAAAGCCACGAGACTGTATGCTCAAAGTGAAGAATATGATAAGTGAAGAATATGATACTATTGTGGAGAATCGTGTTCATCTAACAAGCTCTATTGTTATGAGACAATATCGTATCAGTGTGGAGAGTCGTGATTAGAGAGAAGAGAGCGAGTGTGAAGGGAAGAAAAGAGAGACCAAATGATGGGGAGAGGTTGACTTGAGGGGAGGGCATGTTTTTGTTTTGAATTCATGGGCAGCTGCTCGGCAACAGCGACAGCGACTGGGACTGCTGGCAAGTGCAGCTGGGTAAGTGTGAGTATCAGAGAATTGGGCAGTCATATCGGGTCGTGTTTTTATTTTTATTTTTATTTTTCTCTTGCTTTCATCATAACCTCTCTATGCTTTTCGGTGCCCTCTTCTTTCTCTCTCTTACTTTTTGCCATAAAGGTGGAACCCTAAAACTATGAGAGAGAGACACACACTAGAAAATAAAATTAAAAATATAATTCCTCCAATCCCAAACTCTTTACTATTTACCATCTTAAAATAATCTTCAATTTAAAATTCAAAATTTTAAAATATATTTATCGTTAGTATATGAACATGTAACGCTACAAAAAAAAAAAAAGAATAATGAGTCGTTGAAAAACGTGAGATTTCTGATGAGCTACTGGAGATCTCGTACGTCCAACCACCCACGATGCCTACGAAATGCTCCCCATGCAACAACCCATCCGCTTCAAACTTCACTTGCAGTTTGAGAGCGTAGTATACTGAGAGGGAGAAACGGAAGACGAACGGTTTTTTTTTGTAGTGAGACGTCAACGATATCATTCAATGGAGGACTAACATGTCGTAGGATTCATGTTGCTCTATGTTATTTTCTTATCGCTGGCAATATGTGAGTTATATAGAAGATTGAGACGTTACAAGATTGGTACTGTCAATACTATTTTTCAAAAATTTCAATGTATTTTAAAAAAAAAAAAAAAAAAATTTATTTTTTTTTACCTTCATATATTAATCATAAAAATTTTTAGAACTTTTTTTTTAATAAAATTAAGCGTATTAATACTATTTTTTTAAACAGGGTATAAATGTATTTTTAAATTTAAAAAAAATAATTAATTTTTTAATAAAATTAAGCGTATTAATACTATTTTTTTTTCATCTGTTTTGAGTAATTTTTAATTTTACTTGGTCGGTAAAGGTAAAAACTCGGGATTAATTAACCGTCTACCCTTAAGTATGATTTGATTTGGGCTTTTACAATCTAAACCAGCTTTTAATCAAAAGGGCACTAGAAACTCACGTGTGGCGGAACGGGGTAAAAAAAAGAAACGCCATTATAAATCATGTGTACGGAGGCACGACACGTGTGGGGGCTGATTTTTATTTAATTTAATTTAATTTGGACGCTGTTGGGGTCTCAATTATTGAATCCAGCCTTAGATTTTGTGTGTGTGTTGGGTGGGTAGCTTCATTGTAGGACTAATTATATTTCTAATTATTTTATTTATTTATTTCTTCTTTTTCATTAGTACGGTTAATTATTATTGTTCCTCACTTTAGACTAAAGTCTTTATTTTCTTTAAATATCATGATTAAAGAAAATCTTAATATAATTTAATTCATATTAAAGCAATCGAAATCCAAAACTTACCTATAGATAATTAGAGGTATATTTGTGAGTTAGGTTGTGATGTTCCACGTTGGTTGGGTGGAGAACAAACCACCATTTATAAGGGTGTGGAAATCTTTCCCTAGTAGACGTGTTTTAAACCCTTGAGGGGAAGCCCAAAGAGAATAATATCTACTAGCTAGCGGTGGATCTGGGTCATTACAAATGATATCAGAGCCAGACATCGAACGATGTGTCAGCCTTTTTCTTGTTCCCTGAAGGGGGGTAGAGACGAGGCGGTGTGCCAGTAAGAACGCTAGGCACCAAAGGGGGTGGATTTGGGGGCGGTCCCACATCGATTGGAGGAAGGAAAGAGTGTCAGCGAGGACGCTAGGCCCCGAAGGGGGTGGATTATGATGTCCCACATTAGTTGGGGAAGTGGGGAGGAGAACAAACCACCTTTCTCTAGCAAGCGCGTTTTAAAGCTCAAGAGGGAAAGCCCGCCCAAAGAGGACAATATCTACTAGCGGTAGATCTGGGTCGTTACCTAGGTTGAGTCGGGTAGTGATATTTTTTTAAACCCCATTCAAAGTCAATAAGAAAATAGGATAAATATAGCAATTAAGAAAGAATTAAAAAGTACCTTTAAGCCTAACTTTTGTCAAAAATGTTTAAAAGTGAAAAGGACAAAAATGGGTAGGATGATCATGAAGGAGGGAAAAGAAAAATAAGAGAATAATTGAAAATATTGGAATAAAAACCATTCGTTTTTGTCGTATTCCATGAGATTTTTCGTACTATAGATTTTCTAGTGAACAATTTATTTGTAATCAAACTATAAACAAAATCCTTCTCGAGTCAACGGAAGGGTGAGTTTCTGATATAAACCAAGAGACATCAATCATACAATATACTTCAATGAATTATCATAACATATTTCAATTCATGTCACCTCGAAGAAGAATGAAGTTTCATGTTAAAAATTTTGGGTAGATTACAATTTAGAGTAATTTAGAGTTATTGTATTTCATGAATGTATTTTAAGACTTTTTATTTACTCTTGTAATACCTATAATAGTTTCATTTTGAAGCTATATACAACCATGTATGTTGTATTTGTAAATAGATTTGGAAAACATACAGCCATGTGTGCTTTTCTTTAGTCAATGACTAAGTTTCTTTGCAATTCTATATAGTTTAGGCTGCTGGTAGAATCATTTAAGCTCGACATGATCAATCTTGCTTGTGGAGTAATTCGAATCTCAAGCAAGTATTCTTGCGGTGAGATATTTAATGAACAAGAATCATTCAAGTTAGACGTGATCGATCTTGCTTGTGGAGTGATTCGAATCTCAAACAATGTTTTTGCCTTGAGATATTCGATCAACAATCTTACTCCCCACATATCAGTTTCATTGTCCAAGTCTCAAAATCAGTACGTAAGAGAACAACTCATTTACATTTTTTATAACCGACTGAAAATTAAGATCGGAAATGAATGATGAGCGAGGGGTTTGATTTTTATTTAATTTATTTAAAAGAGAGAAAAAAAAAAAAAAAAGGAAATTGAAGATTGAGATGAATGCGGGGGAATGCATAATAATGATGATAATACATCAAAAACGTTGAAATTAGTATTAACATCATTACTCTTGACTCCATTTCCTCATCTTTTCTTTTTATTCTTCTAAATTATAATAATAATAATAAGAGGGTTAGAAATAAAGAAGAAAATAATAAAATGGTGAAAAGAAAAAAAAAAATGATGACGGTGGCATGGTGGGACCCACACAGTGGACGAAGCGGTGGAAAATTATGATGATGATTGGGGTAGGACAGACCCATCATGTGCACGTGTCCAACCCCACACATTTTCCACGTAACCACTCAAATCCCTTTATTTATTTATTTATTTATTTATTTATAATATTTACACAGGATATTATTCACATTAATGTGTTTATGTGTATGGACTGTGTGTAAAGAAGTACTATTATTTATTAAAATTGATTGTATTTAAGTAAATTTGAATTTGAATTTTGTTTGGAAACCTTTATGGGAAGGAAAGTGATGGTTGAAATTCATCCCAAAAAAAGAAAAAAAGAAAAAAAAAGAAAGTAAAAAATGGTTAATAAAGTAGAGAGAGAGAGAGAGAGAGAGGGAAATGATTGTGATTTTGTTGGTGGGCTTCAAATATATATGTTGGGCCCAATGACTTTTTTTTCCAATTTTATTTTATTTTATTTTTTTCTCCCAAGAAAGTGAGGGAAAGTTGAAAGAAAAGGGTGAGAATTAGATGGATGCCACTTCCCCACATTACTTTTTCTTACACTCACTTATTCTTTTTGCTTCACAAAAATTATTTTCTTTTTTCTCTACCGGTATGGTATTGTCTACTTTGAGTATAAATTTTCATGGTTTTGCTTTGGGCTTCCGCAAAACGCCTCACACCAATGAAGAGAGTATTCCTTGATTATAAACTCATCATCATTCTCTAAATTAGTAGATGGGGGAGTTTCATCCGATACATATAATACACCACAAAAAATGCACAAATTTCACGTTTATCTTAAAACAAGATATAAATTTTCATTTAAACCGAGAATGAGAATGAAGTGAGAATAGATTTCTTTTTGTTGTTAAAGAGGACTAAAGACGAAAATTATATTATCCATTTTTATTTTCGTCCCGTTCTCCCCCACCCCACTTTATATATATATATATATATCAAAACTAAGA